AAAACTAGCCTGTCTGTAGTTGCCAGAACGATCAGTGCTTTTCTATATAATTCACCAGAAACGGTCCCATGTGGCTAATTGAAAAGGTTTTATTCTCTGAGAGAAAAGTGAGACTCCAAACAAATGTAGATTTAAGTGATTGTTCTCTCTTGTAAATGCATGAAAACAATCAGGCAATCAAGTGAAAGCAAAATGCAGTAACATACCCCATAAATTTCCATACCAAAGAACCATAGATGAATTCTTAAAATAAAGAAATAATTACTTTTCACTATTTCTGAGCTGGCCTGAAAATGGATTACCTTACAGCAGTAGTGGGAGTTATCACCATTGTTCCTTTCATTCACTCTAAATTAGACATGTCAGACGTGTCTAAAAATATTAAATTGCATTTTCTTCCTTTCTCAAGAAAAGAGCATGTGAAAATATACAGTATTTTCATTTCAAAGAGCATTCAAATGAAATGACATAAAGTACTTTGTATTTACTGTATAAAGCCAACAAAATTCTGGGTGTGACTTTCTTTTGGTTCTCTAGATTCCTTTTGTTGAATAGAGAACATCGAGAGGCTGTGTCCTTTGCAAATTGTATCTGAAAAGATCTTAGATGAATCCAGTTTAATGGTTTGGGGAGCTTTTTCTCCTGCTTGTTTTTATAAAAGTAGAGCACAGCACATTGTCAAATTTTGGAAGCAGATTTTAGCATGTTTCATTTCCAGCACTGTGCCCAAGGGCTTTAAATTCTCAACCTGTGCCCCCTATCCATGGGATTGCTCCCCGCCGGAGTCAGTTTGGATTGAGAAGGGACTTGACTGAAAATTCATTCCTCAGTATGGCATGTCATTCCTACTTTTATTTCACCAGAATGCTTTATCTTGTGATCTTTGTTTTCATCTTAATGAGTTAGATGGGTGGCTGTCTTGCTGAACATAAAACATACAGTGCCATCATAGTGCAATACCAACAGTAATACATGTTCATTATATACTGTAGCATTATTTTCTTTCATTACACTGGTGGACAAATGACATACAGGACTCTGTTATATACAATATATAAAATAGTATCACAGAAAACCTACACAAAAGTACAGCTCTATAAGACATTTCCAGTGAGCAACATGACATTGTCAAATATTACAAAGTAGCCTCAGGTGTGATATCCTTGAATATGATCAGAATCCTGGCAGTGGTGACACATAGACATGACCAGCACTGGACAGACTGCTGCAGGATGTTCAATCGTTCTTTCTGAGCACTAGCAACCTCCAGACTAAGGGTGGACAGTTGCAGGTGTAGGCGAGTTGGTCTCACAGATTGTTTTCTACCATTGTAACTCTAGTATTGTGTGGTTTTACTCTGCCCTGCTTTAAAATAAAACATTTGGCATTGCCCTGCAAGAACAAAACAAAACTCTTGGCTAAAAGAATAATCAATGTATCACTAAGCAGCACGTTTTGTCACTTTCTAGCTAGAGGAGTTTCTTCAAAATATAATCACATTTATTTTAGCTCTACTAGTTGGTCTAAACAATGCAATCAACATAATTTCCATCACAATGCCTGCATACCGTGTGTTATCTTCCATCAGGTTTAGCAAGGGCAAGACAACATCCACTGGTGAATTAAACACTCCACGTTTCTCTCTGCTGCCAGGTCTAATGTTATTTGGCAATTTAATCCATCATCTGTGAGCATGATATCCCCTGAATGAATCCACATATTTTTCACACATATGGCAAGTTCAGTCATTTGGCTGTGTCCACTACACTCTGAAAAAATGATACAGATAAATCAGATCACATGATAGTCCACTGACGGCAATCTCCACCACTTGTACAGAGCATAGCTGTATCTTTCACTGCTCTTGCATTAATTAAAATCATGTCTTTTTCAAAGGCTATTTATTTCGATTCTTAATGAACTTGTTTTGGCAACTGTAACTAAACTTAAATACCAAACACTGATAACTGGGCATGTTAATGAAATCACATGACTCAAACTCAGCATTTTGCTGTCCCAAGGAACAACCCTACTGAAACAATCAACAAACCCATCTGCTCACTATTTAAATGTAAATAGTTTTACAAATATGCCCAGTGAGCTACAGGTACCAATGGGTACAGTGTGTAATAAGCAAGTGTATGCCCTGTACATTAGTAAAATACACTGTTGCTTTTAAATTGTGTATTTTGTTGTATAAGTAGGTAAATGGATCATTTTTTCTTCCTTTGTACAGTATACAGTATTACAGCATATTGATTTAAAGGTTCATTTTTAACTTGAAATAGCCTTTTCTCCATCAGGTATTTAGATCAGTGTTCATAGTTTACCAAAGAAGCATGGAAACTGAACAAAAAACAATAGTAACGTCACAAACAAATAAAATATATGCACAGAATAAAATAATACCTATATCTGATAGTATGAGAGTAGTTTCATGTTTCCAAATAATTATGAAAGCAAGGTTTGTTTTTTTTTCCTATTCCAAAACTGTTCACCTACAGTAAATGTACTTATTTATCATGTGCACAGATTGTGCTCCTCAAAAATATAGCGTGTGTTAAGTAAACGTTTGTCAATCAAGAACATTGACTGGCAAAAAAACATTTAAAAAATGAGAGTATTTTTTAGATATACAGTACACTCACAACTTTCACCTTGAAGCAGGCTGGGGAAATATTTAACATACAGTACTTTAGGTGTTTCAGGTACAGGTTTCAGGTACTGTACCTTCTTGGATTTCTGTGCATATACTGTACAGTACCTGTACCTGTATACCTGTGTGTTCCGTGATTGTGGTCAAAGTTAGATAGTTAAGATATGGACCCCCAAAAATTTGATCCGACATCAACTTACATCCAAACAATGACACTGTGTCATTTCAGTGGGACAAAGGATATACAGATGGAAGGATACTGCAGGGATTTTTAATACACTCAAGGGAATTTTTCACATGGTTGAATGTCTTCTATGGACAATTTACCTCTCGCCCTAAGATTACTGAAGAAACTTGGCTCCTGGTGCTGTATTATACTGTACAGTATATAGAAATATGTTTTGGAACATTTGTGAGATGAAATGCCTCTGTTAATGTTCTGTTTTCTGGATTCTTTTTACAGCATTCCATTGACATTTCCAATCCCATTTCCTACAGAAGCTGATTTGCTAGTGACACTGGTATTAATTGTAAAAGAGACCAAACTTTAACAGAAACAATTTATAAAAAACAGTTAATAAAACAATATTTACTAGGCAAAATCTTAATTAATGTTTCAGTTCTTCCAAAGGCAGTTCAGTATAAATAACAAAATAATTTGCAAAAATATATCTGAGTTATATGCTTTAATTTATTTACTGTATGTTTATGTGCTCCAGGAAATAAAAGTGTATTTTCTGAAGGAATAATTTAATTCTACTTGTATTTATATATTTTTTATTATTTCAGTACTATATTATGCATAATTGAGGGTCAGGTCGTTAAAACTGAAAGCTGAAAGGCTTGCAAGATTCTCAGGCAAAATCTCTGCCAGTAAAGCATGTTTTTTTGTGTGGCTACAAATAATCTAAACTGCACTGCAGCTCTCATTATACAGAAGCCTGACTTAAGGTTGGATCTGAATAAATAGTGCAACTGCTCATTAAAATTTTTGACATGTATTCTAAAAGGAGACAATTATCTATTAAAAGATACCAAGATATTTAAAGAGCTAGTCCCTGGAATGCTCATCTCAGACTGCTCTCTGATGTACTAGAACATGTTGTGGATTTGTATTTTACCTTGAGTGATTATTTGTGTTGTAATGTATGTCTTCTGCATACAGTATATTTAAAGTTGCATTATTTTTCTCTGCTGTATATTTATGAATACAGGATATTTAATGTATCAGTGTTGGCCGAGTAAGAAACATTGATGTAATCTCCTGTATGTGATGGACAAATGCACTGATACAGTACATTGCACGCAACAAAGGCAGATCCCAAGTATAGCAAAGTTGGTCCTGTGTAACTCCTTTATATACACACACCCAAAGGATTAGAACTGCTACAGTACTTCCAACCAGGGATTTACTGCACAGTTATAAGAGAAGCAAACTCTGAGGTGTTCTCGTTAATTTTCATGTTATCTACAGCTGCATTCCTGCTCCCTGTAATGAGTCTTAATCACTGTTAGGCCTGCTCTCCTCGTCACAGCATGTGGTGCGTAGCATAGGTATTATGTGTAAGTGATAGCACTTGTGAAGTTAAAAGCACTTGGTAGTACTTTGTTCTTGCTATCCTGCTCGATAGAACAACACAACTAAATAATATAACTGTTCAAATATTGTTTACAACTGGAAAGGAGTAAACCTTTCAGTAGTTTAGGTGGGTAGCTGCGTCAGCATGCGTAGGCTGAAAAGGAACAAGTAATAGGTTTATTCCATGCTGAAAAGAGAAGAAAGAAAACACAACATTTCGGCAGTGGAGCCTTCTTCAGATGTGAGAAAGACAGGGCAGTAAGCAAAGGTAATGTAGTGGAGAACAAAGGCTGGGAGAGAGGAGAAGCGAGGGGCGGGAGCAGGGGACAGAAAGAGAGGCCAGTCAGGTAGTGTGAAGTCAGGATGGGTGAGGAGAGGTGTGAAATGAAACCTACAATGAATAGAGAGAATTAGACAAAAAGTAGTCTGTCGTTGAGAGAAGGGGAAAGCTGTGATCCTAGCTGCAGGAGAATTTTAGTTTCTGTAGTCTTTCTGATGTTGGAGTTCGGAAAACCGTCTTTGAGAACACAGACAGAGAGATTAGTGTGATCACGTGGGACCTTCAGTAGGACCTCTTCTTTTAACAAGGTATAAAATTCCAAATAATGAAAATCAAAATGTGTTGTGACTGTAGCGTGCACACGTCTGCTGTACCACCTTGGACAGCATCTGGTTGTTTAGAATGCATGCACTTTTGTTGAAAATAGACAAAACCTGATACAGAGGCTAGAGCCCCCCTTTTAATCCCCATTTCTCTTTCCACAGTTTGTTCGCAATATTCCCGGGGAGTTTTTGCGATCTTCGGCCTGTACGACAAGCGCTCGGTGCACACCCTGACCTCATTCTGCAGCGCCCTTCACATCTCGCTCATCACACCCAGCTTCCCCACGGAAGGCGAGAGCCAGTTTGTACTACAACTGCGGCCCTCTTTAAGAGGGGCCCTTCTCAGCCTCTTAGACCACTATGACTGGAATCGCTTTGTCTTTCTCTACGACACAGACCGGGGTGAGTATACAACCCAGTTCATTCTGTCACTGTGGCGGTGTCGTGATGGAAGTGCTGCTTCCTGTCATGGTTGAAAAGGAATCAATGAGCAAGAGATTTCAAAATCTCTTCGTAGAAATATCTACTGTATGCTTGAATGCACCAGCCAAGCTCCACTAGACAGCTGGGCCTTTGCAACGGCCTGAAAGAGCAAAGGAGCTAGAAACAGTATTTTATCTGCAAATTAATTAGAGAAGGAAGGTGGTGGGATTTAGCCTTGTCAGGTTTTATTAAATGGTATTGGAGTGAATCCAGTTGCAAGTTAATGTGTTAGAGTTATATACAATTAAGAAGGGGAGATTGGGAGATTGGGAGATTAGAGATTAGATTGGGACCATTAGATAAAGGTGTTTTATGAACCTTATTATTGATAAAATAGCTTGTGAGCTTTTCTCAATGGACTCGGATGTTTTTAAATTAATGAGCATCTCTGGATTGAAAACATTTATGATTGTGTTGCAGTGCACTCCCAAAATAATCGTCTGACCCCCCACCTTAATGTTATATAATCTTTATTTTCTTGCAGAATTCTTTCCACTAACCGTCTGCTTTTCATTTTTTACTGGCACTTAAAATCTATTTACTGAAGCAAGCAGCACTTAAAAAAAAAAAAATCCTGTATAAAGACCTAAGAACATGAAAATGTAATGTGAATATATTTACATTCATCCAGTCTATACTATAATCTTTTCTCATACATTTTATATTTTTTTATATTTAGATTTAATCTAGTATAATATTTGTTTTTATAAACGTTCTGTTACAATATTGATGCAGTATATAGTCATTTATTATAATATAGTAATATTTAACAGTTTCCTTTGATTCATATGCAGTGCATTAAATAATACTGTATGTAGCCATGCATACATTAATTCAGCAACTCACAAATATGCCATTTCTTTATACTGATTTGTGTGTTAGAAACATCACTTCAGGGTATAAATAGCTTACTGCATAAGTGCAGGGTAAAATATTCAAATGGGTTTGTGTATGTTTCTTTTAAACTTTGTGAGAGCTTTACCAAAGTGCCTCTTGCCTATATACAGTATATATAAACTGTTTTCATTTAAAGATACCATAAATTTATGAAAATACAAAAATAATCATCTTGACCAATTCAACCCACCATAGTCAACAAAACAGTAACTGAGTGCACCTCAGAAATCTGATGGGAAAGAGTTTGTGTACTAATGTGTGTATGAATTAGACAGTTCTCTACGTTCAAGTTTCTTATTAAATACTGCAATGCATTTGAAAATTCGATCTGTTCATATCTATATCAGAATCTCCCAAAACTGTTCTCACTGAAGGGCTGAAAAAACTGTGGAGTTGTTAAAAGTCACTGAAATGTGAAACATCTACAGAAGAAAGCTCTGATGATGGATGGCCATATTCTACAGGCTAGGTGTTCTTTGTATGGGAAATTCTGAGTTTATGAGGCTCTCCTCTCCATGTAATTCACTTGTAAGCAAACCCCTGTGGAACACTATTGCCACCTATTGGACATCCAGATATAAAATGACAGAATCATATGATATTGGGATGGCCTCCAGTCCTTCAAGTATCATTTGCTGCAATTCAATTTATTTTCAGTTTCCATTAGTTAGTCTACATATTTTATGTCTGAGTAAAGAAATCAACATTTTCAATCATTTATAACAGGATCTTTCATCATAATTCCACCATAACCCAAAACATAACACAAAACACTGAATGATAAACATTCAGTTTAGCACTTGTATCTTGAATATTAGTCTGTCTAAACTAAGTTTGTATATATGTCACATTTGTGGGAAGAACTTCCAAAATAATACACCGTTTATTTAACATATACTGTATATATAATGGTTTATATTGCCTAGAAAAGAAATGTAAGGCATATTCCTAAATACAGGTCATAGGTTTATTCCATGCTGAAAAGAGAAGAAAGAAAACACAACAATGTTTTGGTGATGGAGCCTTCTTCGTATGTGTTCCTAAATACTTGCACTTAATACCTTTACTTTCATTAAGCTTTTTGGTTCTGGAAACCACATTGTATTAATGTACTATATACTGTATATATAAAAACAGCATTCTAAGAATATAAGATGACAACATATATATCTCTGAGCACTAAGCACAGCATTAGCTAAATACAAGATTTTAAATATCTTCTATTAAATTCATACTAATCAGAGTTGCTTAGCATTTAGTGGAGTAATTTGTTAATTTCTCAGCAAAAATGCAATTGGTATTTTTTGCAGTTAGAATCGTGAGTGTCTGTTCATGAAAAGCATGGCCCAGAATAACCTTGATCTTGATCGAGCCACACCAGGCAGGGCTCTGTATATTCATGCAACATTAGTGTTCGGTAAGCTTTAAGATCCACTGACAGGTTGCCTTTTTTGACCTTTTGAGCAGCAGAGCTGTGAGCAGATGTGCCTGTGGATTGGGAGACAACAGGCATGATCCAGAGTCACCCTTGTGTAAGCAATACACCAAACAGTCAGCAGGAGAAGAGGGTTTTTTTCATGTCTGTGTACCCTGTGTAGCAGAAGGTGCCCACAGGTGATGCACACTAACACAAGCTGTCTCTCTGTTGAGCCCTAGACTATGAGGAGAGTAAGAGGATACGGTAGAAGAAGGAGGAAGTATTACGTCATAACATTTAGAGTGAATGGAAGTTAGGGAAAAATATATACAGTACACAGTATATGAGAATAAGAAAAAAATAAAGAAGTGCTAAGCGTGTTTTTGCTACTGAGCAGTGAGACAGGCTTCAAACAGAAGCCGAAACAGTGCCGGTCTCAATTCAATTCAACTTTATTTGTCATTATACTTACACAGTATCAGTACAATTTCGGCTTACATGTGTGTGTAGTGGTGTAGGAGTACAGTCATTGTGGGTACAGGAAGACGTTAGGATAGATCATACTATGGTGAGAGGGATTAGTCTCTCAGTTGAGGTATAGAACGCAAAGCAACACTGTGATCAGCATCATTCAGAGAGAAAACCAAAGAGAATGTGATTTCCCCACTTTATTTAATCCTGTATGAAGTCCTTTCCAGCCATATGACTTTTCCTCTAAGCCTTTGGGCTGTCATTGCAGTGCTACAGGAGGTCTGTGATGTCAGCCTGAATGAACAGTCCACACAAAGCCTTATTTACCTGGAGGCAGGAATGCTGCAGGCTGGATACAGAAGGACCTGTTGGATAACCTCAAGTCAGATTTTGAAGATCACTTTTAAAAAACATACAGTATTTGCCTTGCACGTTTATCATAAATCTAATGTGCAACATTGGATAAATCCAGATCATTGTGAAAGTGAGAAAAACACACAATTTATTCCTACAGAAATAAGCATTATATGGAGGGCAATTCGGATTATAGATGAGTACAAGTACAAGATAAGTATGTACTGTAGAAAGACATTGGAGCAGTGGTGTACAATCTCATGAACTGACATAAACTTGTAGTTTTTCATTCTATTCCAGGTGGGTTCCAAAGCTTAATAATTTGTTTTGCCTGATTTTCCTTAAACTTTGGGCAGATTGCCACTCTAAATAATTGATTCTGGAGTGGGCAGTTTACTCAGAGGGAAAAGAAGGAAGAATTATTTTATTAACAGTACTGTGTTTGCAACCAAAACCTTTTTTACATGTCAAAATTCTTGATGTTGTGGGAAATACAAGATATTCTGAGGAATAATCTGTGTAAATAAGTCACAACTACACATCTGTCTTCCTGAACAGTTCAGTGTCATATTTGGTAAGTTTCTCATTGCTTCCAAAAAACAGTACTGTAGGGCGAAGAAACTAAAATTCTAAAACTACTGTAAATTCCTCTTTTTGTAGAGAAAATGACAGTGCCAACACAATGCTTCCCAAGGCAAAAACGGAGAGAAATATGGACCAGAATACTAACATTTCCTATGCCTTTGCAGTTTTTAGAATTCCTAGCTTTTTAATCATCAAAAGAACACTTGATCTGGAGGATAGTATTTGATATTTTTCTACTTTTCATTTATTATCGTTTGTGTTCTTAAATTAGACAAATCCCCGTATGCAAGTCCATGTGAATGGAGGACAGCATTCGCCAAATGTACGTGGCAATCATAAAGTGCAGTTTAGAGGGCCATCTGTTATATTTGGCTAGAAATGTAAATGGTTTAAAATGCCTAAATATATTTGACAACAATCACTGAAATACAACACAAGCACTGAGTAAAGACTATGGGATTAAGAAATGTTTGTCACCCCTAAAACAAATGAATTTGAATGAGGATAAAATAATTCTGTGAAAATTAGGTGGAGAAAGAACTGGCATGGCTAATGGCCAGAGGTTGTAATTTTATAAATGGTGTTAATGTCGGCAACTAAAACGTTGCACATTGTTCTAGAAATGATGATCAGCATGTCTGTTTTTTAGTTAAAAGTGTTTATCTTGGGAAAAGTCTATTTGTGCTTGCTGTGTTAGTCCTTGAGCGGCATTCACCCAGAAATGAAGTGTGTCTACAGGTCTTGCACAATAATGAGACTGTGATAATAAGAACACCTAATCTAATTTTCTTCCAAAAGACATTTTGTATTTTATTAATATAACATCATGAGTCGTCATTAGAAGAATGCAGTAATATACTTTGAGGTCAACCGTAATAATGGGCAAGGACACAATTTCTTGCTGATTGTCACCATTTGAGAAAAAAGAAACATTCTTGTGCTGTAGGGGATTTCATGCTGGAAGATAAGAGCATACTGTAGCAGCTGATGTACTATATGACATTTTCAAATGTGCCGGATATTTGACATTCCATTGTTAGGCATAATACCTTAAACATTAATCAGTTAGATATTATAACTTAATATCAACAGCTGAATTAGTCACATTAGTAAGAGACAACTGTTCATCATTCTCAATTGGCCTACAGTATATACAGACTATACTGATGAGTGATGACTATATTTTTATTAGATATACCGAGTCATAGTTAATGTCTTAATGATGTTAAAGCAATCTAGGTTTACCCAAAACGGAAAGCATTCTTGACAAAGCAGTTCATTTAAAGTCTGCAAGCTCAGTCTCATTAAATCTCTCTAGACTGCCCTTTCCCTCCACCTCTATTTGACTCTCAAAAAGATAAACATAAATTCAATTCCCCTCAATCACTTTAGAGATACATCAATGTGAATGCATCTATAACAAGAATATTAAGTACATAACCACAGTTTGAACCAGACAAATCATGTCGACTGCTGGAGACAGCTCTCTGTTGCAACCAACTGGGAGCATGCCAGGTGTGTGCACAGCATGAGAGTATTTGTGTACAGGGTATATACAGTACATAGAATGATGTAGGCTGATCTATAGATGGATAGAGATACAGTAAGATAGTAATGGAAAGAGAGACAGATTTGCAAGAACCAAAAGACAGGTGATGATAAATTACAGCAATGGCAGAACAATCTGTGTGAACAGAAGTATGAAATACTCTCAACATCTGTCAGTTTTAGATTGCTAGAACCAACAACAGCAGGAAGCATATTGCATTGGGAGGGTGCTTCATCTACTAGCCTGGTATGTACAGTAAAACATGGTTCTAATATTGTTTTAAAGTTGAAATCAAATCTACATAGCTTTTGAGAAATAATATTTTATTTTCCATACTTTTACCTTTATTGCCAATAATTTATAAATATATTTTGAACCTTTAAATTGTTTAGGATCAAAAGTTTTTCTCATCTCAAAAACACAAAAACATATTTGTGTAAGTAAAATCTAGGATTCCAACACTGGCTTCGTGCTTTTATTTGCATATGTTGTGGACTATAGATATAAAATAAATCAAAATCAGTTTTGACAAAGTGGTTTCAGTGTACTTTGATAAGATCATCCAAGTTATCGTTAAGTCCTTTGTTTTCACCTGACATACAAAAAAAGTTCCTTTTTGATTAAGAGTGGCAACGTGTTTGAATGTATAGCAGTTTACAAAAGATTATACTTCTTTTCTGCAGCCCTGTCTGTGTTGGATTTTTGAGTGATTCTCTTTTATGTCCTGTGGCTTAGTTCCTGGCTGGATTATGAAAATATGCATGCTCCAAGCACCCCTCAGGCAACTAGATATTAAAGAGCTCAGCTGAACCACTCATGGGCAAAAAGCACCTGTCTGCAACAAACTTAACATAAATGGACACTTGGCTTTACATTTATTTTTATTAAAGCTGAAAGGTTATGCTGTCTCAACATTAGCTTTTGGGTTTTATCATATACTCCATCACAGCAATAGTATACAATAATAATTAATATTTTATTATTCAGTAGGTCAGGAAATAAACAGGGTTCACTTACTGTTCATCTGAATGTCATTATAAATGGAGGATCTCAATGACAAAGATGGATAGATCAGAGCATGTTATGGGGAAAACTATGAAATTAACAAAAGGGCATGATTTGGTATCCCTACACAGACATAATGTCAACATTTTGGTATAACAAGGGTACTCATAATTTGTGTTATTTATTTATTTTTTGTCAGGATACTCCATACTTCAAGCAATTATGGAAAAGGCAGGTCAAAATGGCTGGCAAGTCAGTGCCATCTGTGTGGAGAATTTTAATGATGCCAGTTACCGGCGGCTTTTAGAAGATCTTGATCGCAGGCAAGAAAAGAAATTTGTGATCGACTGTGAAGCCGAGAGACTTCAGAACATTTTAGAACAGGTAACCTAATTATTTTTCAATTACTTAATTCTTTTTGGTAGAGGTCACAAAAGCTTGTACTATCATATTCTACACAAAAAAAAGAATTGTCTTTGCTGAGATATATAATGTATACTGTATAATGAAGGTTTAATTCTTTCATCAACCTACTTGATAAAAGAACTCAATCTAAAAATCTTGATGCTTGTTCAAAATAAATTGCACTTTGGGGCTGACGTCTGATTCATCTGGGAGAGATCATTGAAAAACCTTCAGAACCATGCTTTAAGAGTTTTCACTTCTACTAAATCCCAGTTCAGCTTTTTAAACACATCTTGAGTCAAGTGCCATGATGTGACTGCACGCATTTCAGATAATTTTATCCTTAAGCTTAAAGTCCTCACATTGCATTGTCAGAAACGAACAGGAGTCCAAAAAAATAACGCAAAGGTCTTTTTTAACTTTGAAGGTTTTTTCCCTTATCCACTGATGTGTGCTGAATGCCAGACTCAACTCTCTCTCTACTTCACTGCCTGGAGCATCTTAAACTAGAAATGCTTAATATCTACAGCCCATGCAGTGGGGAGTCCTTCATGTTTAAGCAGCATGGCTCTGACTAAACTCCTTATTAGAAAATAGATCAGAGCAGACTAAACTTGTGCCCGCTGTCTAAAGTTATCTGCCTTTTTGTCTGGATTTATTGTACCATAGCTGTGGAGTGTCACCAAGGAAGAAACCAATCAACCAGGTCAAGGCATCAAACATTTCCAGTCAGAATGGTAACAGCAGAGGTCCAGAAAAAAAAGGATCTTTCATTCACCTGCCTCACTGCTTTCATTTATTTTCATTTGTTTGGTATGCTGGTGTTTCACAGTGTTAAGTAATGGGGATGCCAGAGAATATTCCACCAGTAAAGGTTCACAGCCTTGCTTGGACCTTATTGTGCCGGCAATTGTGGTTCATAATCTGGCCTTATGATTCTGCAGTGGGAACTCGCCAAGTGGTGTCCCTTAGCCAGCTGGGGGAGAATTGGCTGGCCAGGGTATCATCATCAGCAACAACCAGTCGCTGGCCGGACACTTGTGACCTGGCGTGAAAGCTCTGTCTGTCATTGATGTTTTGGATTTGAGAGCAAAAGTTTCCAAGTTCAAGTCTGTGCCTTCAGCCCTACCAGACAAATAAAGGGGCTGTAGCATCAGGCTATATCATTACCAGCAGACAGTTCCTAATTGGAGGATATCGGAAGAAAACCTAATTGTCACATCTAAAAATACAATTAAAAAGATGAAAAGAAATCTTTCAGATCTTTTGGGCAGTGAAAACCCTATGACATAGTTGTGTTTTTTTGTCCCCAGTCACATACGTTGAGCCAGAAAGTAAGTCATTTGTGGAACTTATTTTTTGTTCTTTGGCAATCAGACTGTATAATTACCAATTTGGTTAAAAAAATCAAATGAGGATCACACAAAGCATGAGAAAACAACGAGAACCAAGGCAGAAAATATCTCCTTCTGCAGTTTTGTACCTTTAATGACAGTAATTATTATCTTTAGTGGTCATAAAGTAATCTCTGTCAAAAGTTTTGCTTCTGTCATTTTTTTCAGGCAATGGATGGGTAAGTTTGCCTGTTTGCACTTGATTACTGTACATTAATTCATTGTAAGGCACAGCTTCCAATTAATTTGATGTAAGAAAACTTGACAGAGTCACATCCCCCCTGTTCGCAAGTATTATTCTAATTTATTTACTGACAGCTGTGAGAAGCGATAAAGCATGGTAGTAATTCTCCCCTTTTTTCAGATTGTTAGTGTTGGAAAACATGTCAAAGGCTACCACTACATCATGGCAAACCTGGTAAGGGAAGTTTTATTTTACCTCTTCTAGTAATGAAAGGCTTACTGTGGTAGAAATGAAATTAGTGCTCAATGTGATTGGATTGCAAGCACAGGTGTTTAAAGACCAGGTGAGTAAATAAGAGTTTGATGGGCTACATTACTTTTGTTGACAAAGTCTGGCACAGGCCCTTAAGGGAAAGAGAATTTGTTTTGCCCGATTAATTTCATTGAATTATGGCATGAAACTCCTTTTCAAAAAGCACGTACACTATCGGAGAAACAAACTATGATTATTAGACTCCTTCATATTAGTAAGGCAATTGAAAGAGACACATTGTTGATTGTTGATTGTTTAAAGAGACACTGTTGATTGTAAATTGTTGATCTGTGATTGAAACAGCAACACGTTTCATGTCATAATGAGCTTATCTGTGTGAAGCAACATCTGGACATTGTGTCTGCCATATATTCAGTGAATTTAATAGATTATTGCCATACCACGCTGCTTATATTTAAATTCCATAGTCTTTATTTTGGTTAATACCATTTCAGGTTTTGTAATACTGTTATATGTATTGTTTAATCAAGTGGCTAGGATTGGGTTTAAGTATTGTTTATAAAGGAATTAAAAAATGTGGACCATTTACGGTTGTGTTAGTCTCTCTATTAAAAACCACTACAATGCCTGTCCATGTCACTTTGTGCCACATGATAAAGCATTTTGACAAGGTGTTTGCTGTGGAAAGGTTCTGTGTGAAATACAAAATTGGCTCAAAGACTAAACTAAATTATGAACTATTTGAATAACATGCAACATAACCCATATTTATGCCTATCTAATAACTATGTCATGTTGCAGTTAAGGATTACTGTGGTGTACTAAGCTATAAGCACAGTAAAGTGTAGTGCAGCAGAGTAAATTAAGTCTGCATAAGTTGATAAAAGACTGGTTGACTTTCATAAGGGCTTGGCCGTGGCAGACTGTTCTGAGGTGTAGAGACCCAGGAGCTCAATATCTTCGCTTATTGAAGTGCGGCTACTCTGTCTTGCAGGGGTTTAAGGATATCTCCCTGGAGAGGTTCATGCACGGTGGGGCAAATGTAACAGGGTTCCAGCTTGTGGATTTTAACACCCCCATGGTGATTAAACTCATGCAGCGCTGGAACAAGCTGGACCAGAGAGAGTACCCAGGGTCAGAGAGCCCCCCAAAGGTAGGGTGAAAGCTGCTAAATACCTCAGTAACCACTACTGTCTTGTTGGTATTCACACTGACGGCCAGGGTTTTGAACACCACTTGAGAAGCCTGACTTTCATCTATATAGCAACAATATAGATTTCCTAAGAGGTCTCCCATCTCGGTACTAGCCAGGCCCCATCTAGCTTAGATATTGTTTTCATGGGATAAGGTTAGGAGGTAGTAATACTGCTGTCAATGACCCTTGTCAATCCTCCTTGCAGACAGCTTTTTTTTGTTATACCGGTTCACACAATGTATAGATCCAAAGAGAGACAACCACCGAAAAATCCAAATTGGAAATGTTTGCACACCACTGCTTTCCCATTTCTATGCTTTCATTATGAGAGTTGTTTTTTTTTTCTTCTGAGGTATTGTGTGGAGGGCTTCTCCATGGTTAGTCAAATGTCTTAAAGCTGATCGTACCACGATGCTCGAGAGTTCAGTGGGTTAAGAACCTCTTGTGCCCTCAAAAGATTAGGATCATAAATCACTGCTTTCTTTTATTCAGTGCAATGAATTCAGTTCTTGCTGTACCCACACCATGGGAAAGGAAATCAGACATCCTTGTTTGTGTTCCAGTTTAACGCAGTGTCCTTCACTCATTACAGTAATCATTCTGACAGGGTGACCCAATTTATTTTCAGAGATGCTTATTAAAACTGTCACCAGAAAATAACAAATTTGTTTAAAGGCCTTAATACTTGTCAATCATATAAATGTGTACAGTGCATATGCAAACATTCGTATAGATTATGTGTTCATATTTTTGATTGTTTTATATATCAGTTTAAAAAAATATATACAATATAATTAATGTAAACAACATAATTCAAAGTAGGATTTGTATTTTCATTGATGTTTTTTTATTACAATTAATGCATTCTTTATTCCTGTACTGTAAATGTATTACTCTTTCTGAATTTGCCTTTAGATGACGAACCAGCCCACTAAGCATACTGTTTTTCCCCCTTTCTTGGTTTTCACTTTTGAGAAACTCTGCATTCCTGTTCAAAGTCACTGATATTCCAGAGTCAGAGAATACGTTATTACCTCTAACATCCCCTGTGGTAGACTTTCATAAGAGCCTGGCCATGTGCAGAATAATGTGTTGGTAACCTTTTGGACTGTGATACACCTGAAGAACCCAGGGATTAACCAAGTCTGTGCTAAAACAGCTTCAGGCGTTAAGAGTGAATGGCAATTTGCTGTATAGTAGCCTCTTCTGAAAATTCTGACTGCAGAAGGGCGAGCCAAGGTTAAAAGATCCCAGTAGACTAATTTGTGCAGAGAGGAGGCCATTAAGGAAGGAGAAAAGAGCTTTGAAATTATAAGCTTTATTAGTGTTGATGAGTTTGCACGGATCAACAGGTGTGCACATACCATCTAGACTGGCTTCTTGTACTCACCATAAACTGAGCAGAGAGGCTCCTGTCATGGACTCCTGACATTTCTGTAAGAAAATGAAACTAATGGCTTAGTCATGCACAAAAGTGTCACACACATATAAAATGGCACTGCTGCATGCAAATATACAGTATATATTATTAGACTGTATTTTTTCTCCTCTGGGCACAGAAACTTCTCAAACATAGAGAGGTTTGCCATCTGGTACTCATGTACGTACAAGAAACTTGAAGGATTGCAGAGAGGTTTATTTTTAATTAATATACTTTTCATGTCATTGGATACGAGAGAGGAAGCTAAATGTAAATTAATAATGGTGAGAGAGCTACTTCCAACTATGAGAATACTCATGGCAATACCAAGAAAGCTTATGGAATGGAGACACATTTTAAAAAATAAACTCTTAATCAAAAACTGTCATGAGCAGTCTTTGTTAATGTATGTTATATTCAGCAATACTTGCTGTGGGTTACTAATTTTATTTTTTAATATTTTTTTTTGAGAAAATATTTAGTATGTAGTATACCACATTGGTCCATTTGAAATAGAATACTGGTGCTTATTTTTAACCGCATATATATTTTTAAAAATGTTTCTTTTCTTTGTCAGAGAGACATCTCAGAGACACAGTGGAAATGAGTCATGCCTTATTTTGTTATTTTCAACTTTCTTTAGTAAATGGCCAGACAGCAGGCCAAGTGTTATTGTGTTTTTTTCAAAGGGTTATTAAACAGTATCCTTTGGAAATATTTATCCCACTGATTAGTTCAGTCAGAAGACAATGTTTGGCATGCATGTTATCTGTTTGGTGCTAGTTGGAGGCCTTTCAGAATGGCATCAGGACAGAAAGTCAGCATCAGGGCCTGTTTAACTTACTAGGAATCAAAGAGAGTTAAGCAAAACATTGATAACAATACAAATTTCTCTGGGTAGCAAAACAAATGGTTTCCTAGAACTATGGATCTAGGTGTTTGTCTCCGTTGTTGTGGTCTTAAATATAATTTTTCTAGCCTTACCTTGCATGGATCTTGTAAAATAGTAGGATTTGTATTTTTATCGATGATTGTTTTTTTACATGAATGCATTCTTTATAGATGTAAATGCATTACTCTTTCTGTATTTGCCTTAAGATGATGTACCAACCTTATTTTATATTTTGTTTTTCTTCTTTGCTGCGGACACCCTGTTGATGTGTCTATCCTTTGCTGAACTCAATGAGGAACAGATGATAATAGCATCCTACCATCCATTTTCTAACCGCATCATCCAATACAATACAGGGTCACGGGGGAAGCCGTAGACAAACAGGCACACACAGACACAAACACGCACACACTCAAGCCAATTAACCTGCCGTGTGTTTACACTGTAGGAGGGCACCGGAGCATTCGGAGGAAACCCACATACATATGAGGAGAATGTACAAACCCCAAGCAACCTTTATCAAATTTCAAAATGGCAATACCCAAGAGATTCACTTACGGTGTTTTGTATGGGTGTGCTCAGGAATGTGAGACAAGTCTCATTAGCCCACAACAAATGTTACCTGAGTATTGCTCTGTGTGTGATAGTGGTGGGAAATGGCTGACAGGACCCTTGTGTTAAAATACAGTAGCAATATGCTCAAGGATTAGCCTGTTCACACAGGGTGGTCATTATTTAATACAGAGATATTTTAAATGTCACGTGTAATTTGTTAAATTTATGTAGTGGAATAATACATGAGATGCCTTGGCCCTAAATCGGTATCAGGATTTTCTTCTCATTAATCTCCTTGATGTGGTCCTTCTGTGATCCTTCAGTGCTTTTATGGAATTGTGTTATAGGAGAGATATGCCAGAACTAAAAGAGAAAGCCTATGCTTTTCTCTACAGTCAGCTCTTATGTACAGGATGTGCTCAGAATGCACAGGGACAAAATTAGACTTGGGGTTTGAGTATTCAGTGTTTCTTTTGTTTGTCATTCATGTGCAAAACTCATGAATGTGTCTTAATTATTTAGGATATCATCATTTCAGCTTTCTTTGGATATTTTCCCCATTGATTCTCCTTGAGCTATATTCAAAGTGTGGTACTTCCAGTAGCCTTTACATTGAAGGTACCTACAGTATCATGCTTTCTCAAGCAAAGATGTACACTATAATAGATAAATTCCAGGACACTCTTTTGCACCAAGGTATTAATTATGTATTTTGTCAGCCACTGTAATTTAAACTGTTGGATTTTGTGATTACTGTACAGTATATGTGGATTGGGAAGATTAATAAATGACATTCAACGTTATCACTTAACGTTGTTATTCAACGAACAACTTTTAGCTAGACCTGCAGTATGTATTCACAACACTTGTCAGAACTCAATGCATTGAGAAACTTAAAGTAAGGGATGAATGAGCATTCTATAAACTTCTGAATTATTTCTTTGATGAATTAGCAATAGCTTATTAAACAACATTTAACAAAGTAAATGTGACCCTATATTTCAATAATGGCTCTTCATCAGTTTTCTCTCTTATGTCAGATTGCTTATTATACAATTCCCTTTAAAACTACTGCATTCCATTCTTCTTATTGCTGAGATGAAACTTGCTTGAATTTTAAAATGTCAATTACACAATCAAATCAGATCATTATGGACTGATTTCGACAACAAATAATGAACCCAAAATAAACATTAAGCCCTAAGCAGCATATGCAGTATATGCTGCAATTGGTACCAAAACCCCGTTAATTCTGTGACTGTAAAGCTTGGGTCAACATTCCTGGTCCTTGAGGAAATTTGTGTGCCGGCTTTCCAGGCTTCCGTAAAGTTGTAGCACCTACAGCCCTTGGGAAAACTGTTAAATTGATCCAGTTATGCCATAAATTAGCTGATATTGTCATGGTCGTCATCCCTCCTCTAAAGGGCGCCCCTACCTTTTTCTGTATTGTTCATAGTCTAGTAGTTTCACCTGTGTCTCATCCCCTTTGTCTTATTTAAGCCCGGTGTCTCCGCAGTTCTGGGCTCAGCTTTGGAAGACAGACACCCGAAAGCCCACCTATCGCTTTAGGACTTAGGAGTAGCCCGAGAGCATAGGCTTTATCGTGGCGTCCTGACCTCTGAGTCCGGGGCTCGGAGCACCTTGCCCCATCATGGTTTTAACCTTCCGTTTTCCTAGTTCCCCGTTTCCTGTTTTTTATTGTTTTCGTCTCGGATGGACCTCCCAGCATTGGACATTGGACTGTGCTCTAACTACCCCTTTGGACTTTATTGGATTTGTCGCCTTGGCCTTTCTCTGTGCGTGGGATCACCACTTTCACCACCCCCTGTCTGTCGACTCGACCTAACCTTGCTGTGCCTTCCCTGATGTGCTTCTCCAGACACTTCTGGATTATACCGGCATGCATAGGGTCTTCAACAACACACCCCACAGAAGTGGGATTCGGCTTCTGTGACAGATATTGCTTATTAACTGCCAGGTTACTAAATGACCTATAGAAACACTGTCCTTCTGGGGCTAAGATTGGGGGCACCTTCTTTAAAACGTCTTCAATTTAAAAATGAGCTCTTTATCATGTCACATAGTCTATCTTCCCTGTAATTTAATACACTGTATTATTAGATTGATTGCATAAAGCCAGGACTTTAATTTTCTATTGCCAGTACACATCTGCTTTGACATACGATGGAGTGCTTGTGATGGCAGAAGCATTTCGCAACCTTCGGAGACAGAAGATTGACATCTCCAGGAGAGGGAATGCAGGAGATTGTCTTGCAAACCCGGCAGCTCCCTGGAATCAGGGGATTGACATGGAGAGAACACTGAAGCAGGTAGGAGGTCCCAGCATTTTCAGGTTTGATGTACAGTATCATAAGCTGGAGACCCTTTCAATGAATACAATATGTACTGTAGGTGGTCCATGTCCTTAACAGAAGGGTTTGCTGCCAGTGCAACACCTGAAGGGATGACATTGCCTCTAGTAAGAGTGCCCGATTCACTACATTTTCCAGCTCTTCACAGCATTATTCAGTGTGCAACTTTGAGAAATGTGAATCTGCAGTCCCGGGCAGTATGCAAAACGTGTTTCACACTTGTTGTATGTATTTTCTCTTTTTTTTTTTATTTCCATCTGCATTGAGACCTGAACACATAAAGTTGCAATACCGGATGTCACCGTTTCTTTCTCATTTGCCCTGATAAAACAACAGAAATGAAAATGTTCACAAACCCAGACAATTTAGATTATGTGCAAGGTCATCTTTCTCTCGTGAGTCCCTTGTTGATGGTAATTTGACAGGCGAGATCCTGGGGCACAGGTCTAACCACCCTGCTACAAATTTAGAATTCATGTGTGTTAACTTCTGTATGATTACAAGGGAAAGGTACACTGGTCTCCTTCAAAAATTAAGTTGGTTAAATCCATCGAAACTCGCATATATTTTTGAAATTTTACAGTTTTAGTTTAAAATCAAAATAGAATTCTGTGCTCCTGTATGTCTTATGACCAATCATTAACAGCAGAAGCCCGTGTCTTACAAATTGTACTTCTGTTATCATTCGGCCCTGATCACCCTGTCTGTAATATATTGCTTAATTAATGTTGGTTGTTGTCATTTTCTTTTTATCATCTTACTTCCAGTTTTGGTACTGAAGGGGATGAAGAAACACATTCCTATTAACTTTGAAAGTACAGCAAATAGTGTCCCTAATGTTTTATACTGATTTTGTTTTTAAGGTTCGTATCCAAGGTTTAACGGGAAATGTTCAGTTTGACCACTATGGACGGAGAGTTAACTACACTATGGATGTATTTGAGTTGAAAAGTAATGGACCTCGAAGGGTATGATCATAACAATTTTTTACAGTTTTTCACTTAGTCATTTCTACTTTTTAATTATTTTGGACAAAACTAGACTTTTTGACCCATTGTGTTCTTTCTTTTATGTGTACTTTCTAGCTTATGTCCTTAGAATGAGAAAGCTTAGCTCCAATGCACTTTTCTGTTTAGACAATCATACTGTATTTATTTTGTATTACAGATGTGGAATTAATACATTTTTGGAAGCAGAAGATTTTATGGGGCTTATAAAAAATGTCATTTAGGCTTACGGGGAAGGCTTGTCCAATTAGTCATCAACAAAAACTCTGATTTTAATACATAATTTCAAATGGAATTCTAACTTGTTTTTAATGCTTTTTATATAAAGCTTACACTGAGCGTGGATGAGTAACGTTACTTTCATGTGAATTTTTAATGATGTTTTCCAAGAAGCGAATAAGTTTCTCCAAATCATTTTCCATTGCAAAGCTGCAAATCATAATTTCTGCAGACTGCAGATTTTCTTTGATCCAGAAAATTGTTTCCATGGTTACCAAGAGCATTTCTTTAGCTTCTGCAGTTTTAGATCTTGAGTGTAGTTTCAAATCTGTGCTTAGATATTGCTTTAAATAACAATAGCAGCTGCACATTTAAATTAATAGTATTTATACTGGCTAAATAGAGGAAATGGAGAGGAATTCAACAGATGTTAAACGCCAAGTGTTATTATGGTCTTTTTCTCTGTTGAATATTGTAAAAACAAACCTTCCAATTTCAAAACTGGAAATGAATCACAAAATAAATTAATCCGCTTTTCTCATTGTTTTTTTAAGTCAGTGATTAAAAGTATAAAGTATTTTCCCTTCCCACTTAAATATGAGTCTCAAGAAAAGTATTGATAATTCTTATACTGTTGGGAACATTGTGTTATAAAATAGTGTGGTATAATTAATAAGATGATAGAATACAATGCAAACCAGTGTTGTCTGATAGGAAGTAAAAATGCTGATGACTGTTAAAGCACAGATGAAATTTAATACAGTAAGTTTCATCTGTTTAATACTGGTTGTCAGTCTGGACTGTGCACTCCCTAGTAACCAAATAGAAAGGAAAAGCAGCACAGGAAGTAGAGTAGTACAGGCAAGGAAAGGAAGCCCACATTAGTCAGCTAGGAAAATCTGCCTGTTTTGCTCTCATGCTGAGCTGTTAGCAGGAACCCAGTTCAAGACAGAGGTTTTTTCCCCCAACATATGAATTGTTGGCTGCTACAAAAAAATGTGCTTTCATTTATTGTGCATCCTTTCCTTTCTAGTGTATCATGCCTCAGAAGATGATATCACTGCCTCAGTTTTGTCTTTTGTGTTGGCAAAGTAGTATACTGTACACATGATGTTTTTCTAGTCCAAGTATATCTGTTGTGCATCAAATTGACTGAACTAGTTTAGTAATATCTGTTACTTTTTTCTACTATCTTATGGTTTCCTAGAAATGTGTTTAGCTCTTTTCCTTAAAACTTCAGCTGCACTTTAGTTGTACAGTATGTACAGTACTACAGTATACGTAAGAAAAGGGATATTGCTGTGTACAGTATATGTAAAAGGTTATTTCCAAGGTTATTTCCAAGTAAATGGGAATATTAAAAGTGAATTGACATTCCGCAGTATTATCACTGAAGCATACATAAAAAGGAAGGTACAGTTGCTTCTCATATCAAAAATATAAAAATAAAACAGCCTTGAAAGTTTAGTAACTCTGTGACTGTGTTGTGATTTACAGATTGGTTACTGGAATGACAATGACAAACTGGTTTTGATCCAGAATGAAATCTTGCTCCCCAATGAGACTGCTGCCATGGAGAACAGAACCGTTGTTGTGACTACAATAATGGTAAGATCTTACACAGTCTCTTCTATCTTTAAAACACAATTAGAATTTGGTTTTCTTTGTATACCCTAGTATATAAATGGGTTTAAGTTTATTTTGGCATTCTATTTTTGTTTTGCCCCAAAAGAAAAAACAATGCAGAAGGAAAAAGGTCAATTGGTGTTTCTGATCTGTGACTTGTTACAGTAAAAATGTAGCTTCCAGACTCGCAACTGAGAATCTTAATTAGGTGATGGATACTAAAAATGGGATAAATCAAAGGCTGTTTTGACTTATCATGTAGACGTTTCAAGATGCTCACAAATGTTCATAGCATGTTATCTGTTGAACATTGCAAAAAATGTACCTTGGCAAATATGATTATCAATATTACCTTATATGAACATCTGTGCTACTAAGGTACAAGAAGAATGCTGTGCTCACTCTGTATCGTGAAGCATTTCTAAAATGGTATTTTTCATTTTATTTTTTAACTGAAAAATAGTTTTTCTTAATGGAGATTCTTATGTGTGCATGGAATTCAAAATGTCCCATTTCCTTTTTTATACAAAAAAAATAACAAGGTAATCGAGAATTATACTTCAGCAGCATCCTCCTCTTTTCAGCCTCTGATGAAGAATCCAATATTAAGAAATTGATCCAGAAAAGGACAGAGTAACCAAGATGCTGGAAAAGTTCCTTTCTAAAGGCTTTCAAGTATTTCAAGTATAATGGTTATTATACACCTCATTTTGTATGGACTGTTGCTGCTTTAAAGATGAACTGGACAATCCATCTCTTTTCCACAAACAAAGTGAGACATTTTACAAGAAGCCCTTCTAAGATTGATGTCTGTGATGAAGACTGGTGACACGTCACACTTATAATTTAATCAAAAATATTTTTTCAGGATTCACCTTTGGTTTGGTTGTTTCCTGGACAAAACCTCAGACATAATTTGCTTGGACATTGAGTATGCAGTTTCCCCAGAACCATGCCGTATTTTTCAATCTTTGTACCCTGCCCTGTGGTGAATGGAAATGGTTCTACATTTGAAGTCACATGTTTACCAGACAGGCTACACCATTGTGTTTCCATCACAAAGAGCAGTATGGTTATCTAAACTATACTTGTAAGCTTAGAAGTGCTATCATGAACTTACATTCAGACATTGGTTCTATTTTTGAGTGCCCATGCAATGCTGCATGAGGTAATTGCTGAAGCCTCTTTATGATTTCAAGTCAGTTAAAGATATTATGTGTATGTGCTTACATCTCTTTCCACTCTCATGAGGTGAAATCACTTGTTGTTGACCTTTTTAAGCACTTATTTTGGTGAGCATAAAATATTTTGTTTGTTTTCTGGCAATGTTATGGGTGTAATGTAGATAACATCACCCGACTGTACTATAAATTGTGTACAGGGAACAGTTCATTGGTGGTTAACAGTATAGTGGTCCTCCATGAGATACAATCCAAAAGCAGTTACATGCGGTACAACTTTGCCCAAAGTCATTCTTTTAGCTCTACAGCTATAGCTCCTCAGTTTGAAGGTTTCTTTTGTGTAGAACAGCCAAGTAAGGCTATTCTGTACCTTGTCTTTTATTTCATGTTCATACTGTGAAGAAATACCTGAAATACTGTAAGCTTGTGTTAAATATCAACCAATAGTATTGCATTGCCAAGGACAAGCTAGTGAATGCAGCTTTATCCAAATATAGCAAAATGCATTTGATTGACGGCCAAGATGTCATACAAATGAAATACCTTTTCATTCATGCTTGAGAAATATTCAGCATGTAATGAAGCCAGTGAAGAAATAAAATTGTTTTGTGCCATGTATCCTCTGTGCTGTATTTTTTACTAAAACTTACATAAGAGAATGTAGATTAACTTAAACAAATAGCTCTAAATACCATATGTTTTTCAAATCATATGCAGTTCCTTTTGGGAAACAATTCCTATACTGATAATACAGAAACACCAAGTCTGTTCTTTCCGTTAAATTAAATTTGTTGCTTAAAACTTTGAGCCAGAACATATACAGTACGTTAAAATGTTTGCAATTGTGTCACAAGTAGAATAGCTAAAGTCTAGAAAATGCACGAGTAATAATAAAAAGTATAATTTTAAAGTATTAACGCATAGATTGTTCAAATTGCATGGTGTAATTGGAGTAATTAGCTTGCCTTATTGCTGTGAGGAATGTCTGTTCTTGGTTTTTTAATCATTAAGACAAAGCCCTAGGATGCAGCAGTAATTATTATGGTCAATAACTCTGTATACTGAAGATGTTGAGCCATACTATTTACACATTCTCAAAATAACATTCTTCAGCGAGAATTACTGTACAGGATTTGTGTGTTAGGTGGAACTGGAACAATGCCTGGTAATTAACATTGATCATCTCAACTGCAAAGTCAAAAAAGTGCTGTTTCAGAAGATTCAGTACAGCAAAATGAAACTTTTTTTCATCCTGTTTACCAACAGATAAGCAATAAATCAAATATCAAGAATAATTATACATACCTAAACATATGCTCACAAACATATAGCCTGATATTACTCAGAACACTTCCTTAATCTCTAAATATACACCTCTTGCAATACCTGTCTTGCTATTGTGTCTATTTACAGATTAGAATTCTATCTCCATTTTGCCATTCTTTAACTATTGAAATTGTCTCACACAGTTTTCTCAAACATTTTATGGTTTTCTTGCCACTCATATATTAAAAATCAGTGTTTACAAGCAGATGTACTGTATTAAAACATATTTGTATATGTATAGAAAATGGAACCGGTTGTGGTGTTTATTTCATTTTAATTTATTGTTTTTTAAAAAAGCGCTTATGACATGATTTTAAAGTCTTCTTTGAATGTTAAGTAATAGCATCCAGTGATGTTTGACTGCTGCATTTACGCAAAGGAAGGGGGCAATCAGAAGTGCTGGTGAAACGTACTTCAGAATGTAAAAGGACAATTTTGTATGTATAAGACAATATCCTGTGCCATTTATGATCATACATCTCTGGCTTGCACCCTTGTTTCATGTTACGAATGTAAACCATTTGTTTCAGCAAATCCTGTTACTTTTGTGCTTTGCAGTATGTCCAGCACTTAACCTCCATCTGAGGAACTGTCACTCTTTCAAAGACGTTGATAGAATTCTACCATGGAGTGCTTGTGCCCAGTATTAAGCACAAATTCATCAATATGATATTTGAAGAAATGTAAATGTACAATATTTGACTCATTTCACAAATTCAATTGGAAGGACCAAAAAATAAGCTCTTATCTATAATAATGTAAATTTAGTATACCATAATTACTATATTTAGTATACGATATGGTTTTCGTTGAAGTATTACAGCTTTGACATTACAGTTTACCAACTTAATACTTCACTCTTTAATTTTAAGTATTCTGATGACCTTTCTATCTTTTTTTGTGAAATAGTTTCTTTTTTTTTCCTCTGGGATATAAAAGCTTTGTAACCGGTAAAAAATCCTAAAATCCTTGGTAGCACTGACACCTGTATGCCATGGTAAAAAAAAACCCATTAGAATTTCATATTCCATAGCCACAACTTAGAAATAGTTAAGCTAGTCCAAGTACAGTAGTTTACTAAATTGTCCTACATATCGACCATGGTAAATGTCTGAAGCATCTGAAGAAAAACAATTTAAGGTGCTCTCTTATCCAAGATAAATAACCTGCAGTTGTTGGTTAATTAAGATCCACATTCCTTATTTCAGATGATTATTTAATTTATTTTATTTAGCATCTGTAATTATTTGCAAAATGTAAGACTACAAGTGAACCTTTGTAGAACCTGCAAAGATCTTTTCCAAGGAGTGCCAAGATCTTTTTTTTAATGGTCAGGAGTAATTTTACATACGGAGATTTCTAGACATTTCTATTTTCTTACATCATTCATATTTTAATGCTTTTCTTTGCAAACGTGTCCAAATGATCACCTCCTGTCCCAGCTTTAACTTTATTCAATGTGGAAAATGTTTGTGTGGAAAGAGGGAAATGTGACACATTGTCTAATGTTACAGGCAGTATGATATGATCATTGATCATGTCCTGGACATTGGTGCAAACCTTTATCATAAAATAGTGAACTTCTTTTTTTTTACTTCTTGCGTGTAAAGAAGTACCAGTATTAGCAATATGTCACTGCCCTCTTTCTCTATTATTATTTTACCAGAGAGCACTTTTAAATGTTTTTATAAAATATTTCTATTATATTTAAGAAGGCTGTTACACAGATTGATCATTCTGAAAAATCAGGAAATGTCAGACTGTACAACTGAACAATATTTGAGCAGTCTAACATATGCTATGTCAGAAAAATTAAAGTGCAGTCAGATTTAACAAAATAATAATTTCATAGTCTGATCATGAAAGCATTGAAGATCCTAGATTCTAAGGAGGTTAAAACAGATTCAAGCAGAGAAATGCCTTTGTCATCTTTAAAGTAACTCATAATTGATTCTGTTTTATTCAGCTCAAAATGTGAAATATGATGTATTTTTTAGCTCTGCTTATAGAACATTAATTGAAGAGCCTCAAAGCAAATAAATCATTCATGCTGGTGTTCAGATATTCTGCACTCAATCAAGACATGAGTGTTCAGTTTGATTTTTCTCACACCAAATCATTTTAACTAATTAATGTGACACTGGGAAAGGGCAGGAGAAAGCTGCTCACCCAATGGCAATGGGTCTCTGCATTGAGAGTGGAACTCCTTCGAGACAAATCATTAAAGAACACTGTGCTAAGAATTTGGAAAGCTAGCAAGATGGCAAGCTTTGATGGCAGTTTTCCATTGGGAAACTATGATTTTATCACTAATAGCTAACAACGTTGTGTTGTTTGTATGATCCCACATAGAAAATATCCTTAACTGTAGCCTCAATAAATAGGAGTAATTTTGTTATACTGTACATTTGTATAACATATACTTTAAGTAAAAATAAATTGATTTATCCTCTAGCTTTAAAACTCCAGACACTTTCAGATTTAGGCAGAAATGATTTGTTGTAAGTTTTTGAATTTGAGTGACTTTTTTGGAAAAAAAAAGATGCAGAATGGAAATCACTCCACAATTGTTCATTTATGTTTCTTTAGCTTGTTACCTCAAAAAATATCTTTTTTCAAATTTATTATCGATAGAAACATTGATTTATTACTGGCCATAACTTCCTAGTGAAGTTTCTGAGACAGGATAATAACCTTCTTGATTATATTAGAACTATTTTTTCTATACAATATGGGGACACTCAACCTGCAATATGTCTGTACAAGTTTATTGTATGTTGTGTATTTTCAGCACTGATTCACATTTTCGTGTCTTCTGTAAATGGGAAGGTGTTCATTGGTCAGTTTTATCTCCTTGTCATTTGTTGTTTTAGGAAGGCCCTTACGTCATGCTGAAAAAAAACTGGGAGATGTTTGAAGGGAATGATCAGTATGAAGGCTACTGCGTGGACCTAGCATCAGAGATTGCCAAGCACATTGGCATCAAGTACAAGATATCTATTGTGCCTGATGGGAAATATGGAGCCAGAGACCCAGAAACCAAAATATGGAATGGGATGGTTGGAGAACTGGTATATGGGGTAAGGAGAAATTCTTGGTATGCATGTCTTTTCATGCACCCCGCCTTTCAGCCCATCTTCACCCTCACAGCAGCCTCCCTGGTTCAATCCTAATAAGTGAGGGGATTTGTCCCCTTCATTTTACAGCCAAAGCTATAATGCCATACACTAAAATATGAAGTATGCAGTCCATTTCTGTTGATCATCTGGTCACATAAATTAGAATTTGACCGCCTTAATGAAATGAAAATAGGCACATACTGTACATACTAAATGTATTCCTTGTGGCCTCTTTAGGAATGTCCCTGCAAAACCCCAAAGGAGTAACCTACCTTCTACAGTATAACCATCTTGTATACTTGTTATTTTGAAAGTCACAACCATTTATGATTAAATGTTAATTCCTTTCTGGGATTAATTTATAGGATTTCCAGAAAACTTTGCTTGTAAATCACTAACACAGTCTGTTCCATGGAACTTCAAATTGTAGGACATGTTTTTAGACTTCAGCTCTATCCAATTTCCTTCTTGAGCTATAAGCATTTATCTTTTTCAGTTCCGTATTTGTACCATATATTAAACTTTGCATTAAAGATTTTTTTGCCATACATTTTCTGAATAAATGCAAAGGCCAAGTATGCTAGGACTTTGAAAAGATAATAAGATGCCATGACAAGAATCTGAAGGCAGAGATATTTGTAATAAAACCTTGTTCATTTTGAAATTGTATGTCTTTGTCAGAGGACCATGTATGTTATATATTTTAATAAGCTACAATTTCCTATACAGTGTACTTTAAAAAATAGTTTAAAGATGATTCTGTGGTAATATGCAGCTAACCTTGTCTCAAGACAGAGCTCTTGCCAACAAGTTAAGGAATTAAATAAGATTATTATTGGCTGCGATACCAGAATGTTCAATTTTATCCTTAAAACAGGAAAAGCATAAATAAGGTTTTGTTGTTTCATCCGCAGAAAGCAGAGATCGCCGTTGCACCCCTCACCATCACCTTGGTACGAGAAGAGGTTATTGACTTTTCCAAACCTTTCATGAGCTTGGGGATTTCCATCATGATCAAGAAACCTCAGAAATCAAAACCTGGAGTCTTTTCCTTCTTGGACCCCTTGGCCTATGAAATCTGGATGTGTATAGTCTTTGCCTACATTGGGGTCAGTGTGGTGCTGTTCCTTGTCAGCCGGTTTAGCCCATACGAATGGCACACTGAAGAACCAGAAGATGGGAATGAAGGGCCGCCAAGCGATCAGCCTCCCAATGAGTTCGGTATTTTTAACAGCCTCTGGTTTTCCCTGGGTGCTTTTATGCAGCAAGGATGCGATATCTCACCAAGGTGGGTCACACAGCTTTTATCTCTTGGCATTTTATGGTCAAAACACGGATGCCATGGTGCATATATGTTACGACCATTTTTCTTTGCGTTCTAAAAATCTAGGAAAGAATCTTTTTCTTGGTAGAGCTTTAAAATAAGTGGCTTGTACAGATATCTATCTCTGAAACAAAAGTAATAGATGGGAGAAATCGTAGTTCAAATAAAGGAAACAAATGTTGATTTGCCAGTCCTTGTGACATTACAAACATTTATCATATCTCTAATAGCTTACCATAAGAAAAAAAACGGAGATCTCTCAACTGTATTTACACTATACTAAGTCATCCTCTTATTTCAAAGCATACCTCTTGTTAAATCTTTAACAGTCATGGTAAGGTTTATCGAACAAATTGTTGCTGATTTGATTAAAAAGTCTCTCACCGTGTGTATAGTAACTTATATACACCATGCCCAGACTGTAAAATGCATGAGTTAAAGCTGTATTTTCTATCCTGCTTGGAGGACTACCGTGTTTTTGCTGCATATTGCATTTTACGGTCAATGGTTTTGGTGTATATAAATTTTTAATGCACCAAGTGGAAAAATCAAGCTTTATTTTTAGAACATTTGTAAGAAGTTAGCTTTCATAATTAATGACTTCAGAATGCAGCTTAGTAAAAAAAAGCATTACAGGGTATCCAGTAGGGTGTGGAATAAAATTGATCAGATGTTTCTGAAGAAAAGGACTTTAACTAAATTGTATGCAAATGGACAGGCTCTTCCATTGTAGTGTTGAAAGACTTTGAGTGCCTTGCGATTCATAACTAAAGAAACGATAGTTTTGTAATGAACGGTAAAAACTACTATGTCTGCACTGTGTCAATAACTGCCATTTCTTTTGCGCTACGGAGATATCCATATCCTGTCTGTGAACTTCACTGTTGAACGTCCAAATTGTAGCAATGTTGTTCTGCTTCTTCATGCTTCTTTGTGTAAATCTGTGATGCTTCAATGTAAAATCCTTTAATCTTGTCTCTCTGTTCAATTCATGTCATCATTCTGTAATGTCTTCTATAAAACTGTGTGCAGTCTTGTCTGTTGCTTCTCTGAACTGATGTTTCTCTGGGGCTGAGGTGGCTTGGGTTGAGACTTAAGTAAAGGAGCCACCCAATCATCCCACAGGCAGTAGCTTGTTGTATACATTTACACCTGTCCTACTTCTCAGGTACATAAATAATGCATTCTGTTGTGCGAGAATCTGCCATACCCTTCAGTCATTATGGCTAGGTTTCATTGCTTACTACCAAATCGATGTTAGACGTCGTTCTGTAACATGCTTTCACCATTTTGGTAACATGCATGTCCTGTTAGAGGTCTAACTTCTGAATTCTTTGAAAAGGAGAATATATTTTCCAGCCACCCAGATAAAATGGGCATTCATGAGAAAGAACGAGAAGCACTCAGAAGCAAAAATCAGCCACCCAGGACTTAAAGGTACCAAGAATGCAATCAAAATAATAGTGCCATTACATCACGTCTATAGCATCACAAAGGCTATAGAGGAGCTATAATTTTGATTTAATCCAAGTAGACGTTTGAATTTAGGATTTCTATGTGCACAGATCATACCTGTAAAAAATAAAGTTTAATGTCAAATTCAGTTTTGTAAGTAGGTTCTGTAAATCCTGTCCTATTTACTGAGAAATTGGCTATTATCTCAAATATTTAACCCTTAATCTTCCAATTAAAATGTCTGACATCTGACCTGCTTTGTTGTTCTGTTAATAAAATATAATCGTCTTTGACATGCCTTTACTTACAGTAACATTATCTAAACCACTATCAAATGATCTCTTTCAATTTTTTTTCTGTCCTGCATTTTTTGCAGTATTAATAAGACATGCTTTATGATAACAGCTTGAATATTTTGTGCTGATTTGTATTGGTGATTTCTCAGTATATATACGACAGAAATTTGCGTTATCTACAGCATGGGTTTACTGCAGCTATAATTAACTGTATCTCCTTTATGTATGGTCTTGTCAATATTCAGTATACACTGTAGGTTCCCATCTGTCAGTTACTCTTCTCCTTTTAATATAAGGTACCATTATTTACTGATGCATGAGTCTTTACAAGATTCATAATATTTGTTTCTGTTTTCTATTACTTTTAGATATTAAGGTGCCTCAATATTGCAATGTCTTTAAGACATTCTGAGTTGCACGTGTACCAACATTGTGACTATCATATCATTGGTGTGACAGTTTTTGTTCCTGGGCTTTAATTTTATTGAGACTCAGATTAAATCAAGTCGCTTCTACAAAAAGATTAAAATCTTTCATTTTTCTGTCCCTCTTTAAATAATTTATTTAGCTTTTACGTAATGTGAGCTTTTCTGTTGTCTTTCTGGGTCATATAAAAGAAATAATTAAGGTGAGTTCAACTTAGTCTATTCAAAGCGGGATACATCTCTGACAAAGCAAGGTGAATGACCAAGGGAAAATGATGACGCAACTAAGAAATGGGAAAATTTTTAGGACTTTTTTGCCAAAATTAATAGATTTTAATGAATAGTTAATGTAATTGTTTGCCTTGAACATTGCATTGAATTTTATGGACTAACTCTGTTAAAAGCATTACAGTGCCTTGAATCAGCGCGATAGCCTGAATAAAACTCTTTCAGCAGCTTATAACCGATGTCTCCCAAGGCAGGAGTTTTAAACATGCTGTAGAGTACTGAAATGTGTTGGCTTGATTTTCTTAACCCAGAACTGCACAATGCCCAGACCTCAATTCTGTAATGGAAATACCAGAGATTATTTTCCACTTTTGATATGCAACCTGAGTACCCTTCAACACTTTGTTGGATTGGCTGGTTTGTTTTTTCCCCTCTTACATTAAAATCCTTTCCATTTGAAAAGCTGAGTTCAATAACTCGCTTTTAGAGAAAACGTTTGTGGTGACTGAATTTCTAGATTTAGGGGTAAGGTACTGTATAACATGGCTGGGAAAATGCCATTGTGATTGAGCAATGTTACTGTTATCTACAGCTCATTTCAGGAGGGAGATTACAGCACATAATTTGAGTGACTGTGAGTATTGAGATATTTTGACAGCTGCCGGGCGCCAGATTGCTCTTATTAGAAACAGAAGTTTCTTGCTTGGTGTGTCTTTGAAAATGCAGGAGACAGTTTTCATGCTAAGGGCTACCTCTTTTCTAGTTTCCGTTCCAATGCGGGGGCTTTGTTTCTTTCATTCAGAAGGGATTCAGAGGTCTTTGGGAAATTAATTGCTTTTTACAGTTCTGTTCATGCCCTGCTAGCATTATAGTATGTGCCTTTATATGTTTCACTGAGTCACAGCCAATTTGCACTAGTGTTAGGTTTCCTCATTGGTGCCTTTTATAATTAGCACTATAGGAACAGAATACTGTGTGAACTCTTAATTCTTTAGATGACAGGAACAGGACTGAAAAGTGATTTCCAAATTATAGAGTTCAAATTGAAGTTGAATTACAGAGTTCAAAATTGTTCAGATAGCAGCGTGCTGAAAGTGGGAACATAGAGGCCTGTCCTGTTTTAAAAGGCTATCGCCCATTTTTCAAATTGAAATTCGGAGGAGTCATTGGTTTTACTCTTGCATTACGTAAACTCAAATCAGTGAATCATTTCCATTCTGTCGAGGATCGTTAATTAGCAGGAGATTATTGGCTTTGTGGCGAGTGTGTTTCCGTCTCTGGGCATGAATGCCCCATGCTATCCAGCCATAAACAAGGAGCAAAATGTTCCTGACTTTGTTTTCTTTCCTAATAATTAACTTTACTTTTCAGAATTATTTTTTTCTCACAACACACCAACACAAGTAAAGTGATTAATTAGGTACATAGAATACAGTTGCAATATTTCAGATCAATTGTTACAGCAGGTATTTAATTAGTGTTTAAGTTCTTCCTGCAGAACAAAATACATTTTATTTCTGGGGTAATTTACTGTAGTAGATCTAGCCCTCATAATCAGTGGTGTTGTTTGTAGATTGCCTAGAGAGAGTAAAGCAATGCAGGAGTTCATTGTGATGCAAAATGAAAATATTTTAGTTAACTGCAGGTTAATTACTTTATAGTCTAGTTCTGGGGTTTTCTACTGCACCCCTCGACGGGATAGGATACCTTCCAGCAATGATACCACTTTGTAAAGTAATTAATAGCGTTAGGGCGTACAGGATCTGTTACAGTACTGTACATCATTATGTCTCCTTGGTAACCAGGACTTGGGAAGAGGATGACAAATGGAGATGTTAGTTAAACTGGGGTGAAGTGGTTCTCTTCACTAAAAGAAATATTGGGGGGCAAATATGGATTTACTGTTTTAAATTTAGATCATAGGTTTTCTCTACCTTTTACAGAATCTAATGAGTTTTTAGTTTTCTGAAAATTTGCACTAAATCTTAAATATTGCGGTATTGAATGGCATATCAAAAGGGGCTGAGTGGTTTAAACATGTGGTGAGTAATGGGCTGAGTACCACTTTGTTTTAAGTGTTGTTCTTAAGTCCCTGAGTTACAGATGCAGAAACGCAAGAACTTATTACATCTCTTAAACACATAATATTCCAACTTCTACTGAATAAGGTGGTTTCTGAAATGCTGCTTATATATATTATAAGTATTATATATATATATTTCTAAGAAGATGCACTGCTTTAGACATCTAAGACACCATAAGGAAGTACAATACAGTATGTATACAGTATGTTATGAACCAATTCATATTCACCTATTTATTCAAAGCCTCCACTCTAGTTTTTTCACTATTAAACAACTTTGATTTATTAATATAATTTACTGTTAGAAAAAGCCAAGGCTGTCATTTAGCAATCTTAAATGTCCTGATAAAAATGTTCACAAACAGGATCACAACATATTGGGGTAAAATATACATACACTGTAAGAATCCAACATCAAGTGTTGTAGGAACTAATTTGTCACATTTACCATTGAAATCTAATTACTCCTCATGATCA